AAGGTGGACAGACCTTCAGAATCAGGACCTTAAAACTTTAACTTTGTGTTTCTTTGTTTATTAATCGCTGGTCCATCAACAGGACGCTGTCCTTCCTGGGGATGAGCTTGTGTCTCGCCATCATGTTCATCTCTTCCTGGTATTATGCCATCATTGCCATGGCGATCGCCGGCTGCATCTACAAATACATCGAGTACAGAGGGTAGGAGTTAATCTGTGTTCAGAACCTTTAGTATGTTACCTGCTGCTCCTCACCTGTTGGAAGCCAGTAGAAAAACTAATCAGGAAAAAATTACAAAGAATAAACTACAAAGACTTGGTTGAAAAGCACTTTTTTTCTCCATAGAGCTGAGAAAGAATGGGGAGACGGCATCAGAGGCCTCTCCCTTAACGCCGCCCGCTACGCCCTCATTCGCCTGGAGGAGGCTCCACCGCACACCAAGAACTGGAGGTATGGATGGATGGTGGATTCAGGTTCTGACCAGAAAGGCTGAACCTGTTGTGACACCTTAGTTATACCTGGTGTTTCTGTTTCCTTTTCCAGTCTTTAGCTAATTTTTTCATCCTTTTTTTAATCTCATTTCACTTGATCTGCAATCTCTGCAGTATGAGCCTCATATTAAGCCTCTCCTTCTCTCTTTTTTTTACTTCCAGGCCTCAGCTACTGGTGCTCCTGAACCTGGATTCAGATCAAGGAGTCAAACACCCCCGTCTGCTGTCCTTAACCACTCAGCTGAAGGCGGGAAAGGGCCTGACGATAGTGGGGAACGTTTTACAGGGAACCTACCTCATTAGGGAGACAGAGGCCAAGAAGGCCGAGCAGGTATGACCCTCATCATGAACACAGCAGCAAACCTACAGCACAGAGATCAAACTTCTAAAAATGAAATATAACGGTCAGTTTTTCTAGAAATAAATGGTTTTTAGAAAGTAAACTGCAAAAAATGTGAATCTAAATAAGTAATTTTCTTTTAAAATAAGTGATGTTTTTCTTGAATTAAGGAGGAAAGTGAGAGACTTTTACCAATGGAACAAAACAATTTACATTTAAAATAAGACATAATATCTTATTACAAGTGCATTTTATCTAATTATCTTATTTAAGAGTAAAAAAAATCTAATTCCATTGGTAAATCATCTTATTTAAATACTTAAATTAAGGGCAAATAAACTTAATTTAAGAAATAATTTTTACTTATTTCTAGATGGTTTTAGCAGTGTAAGACAGTCTTCCCGTAGAATAAGATAATAAATGATAAAGAAAAATGGACAAAATCTCTATCAGGTCAGAGTCTTTCCAAAATAGTTATAAAACAATCCACTGGACTTTGTTTCCAAGTTTGAAGATGTTTCGCTTCCCAGGAAGCTTTTTCAATGCAAAATGTCAGAAATTTTTGGTCCACTCTATAGAGTGTCATGATTTTCTTAAGGGATCCGACCCACATGCAGTAAAGCACTCAGAGAAACCAGGGTAAAAGTTTAACAGATTTATTGAGGAGATGAACTGGGTTAGATTCAGGAAACTCAGAGTACTGGTGAACCGGAACTTTAAGTGGGAAGAGGTTAGTTCAAGGTCCGTGGCAACTTTGAATGAGGACTTTGGAGAAACAGAGAAAACAGGACTCACGTTAGTGGAGGAAACTTTCTTCCAAGCATCCATTCTTGTGTGGAGGAACTCGTTGGAGGGCGGACAGGTTTTGTTTGGTTGGTTCCTGAGGCACTATGGAGCGGACTGTCACTTGGAATCC